GAACAATTAAATGTATCATAATTTTAAATTTTTACAATTGAAAGGATATGTTTGATAACCGATATGATTTTTTTTTTAACTTTTAACGATGTGGTACTATTACGAGTTTATTAATTAGATTCATTATTTTAAATGTACTAATCTATAAAAGTAAAAAATACAAATAAGAAAATCTATACTAAACTGCAGCTACCACCTGTGACTCTGTTTTAAGCTCATTTGGGCTGACCAATCATGAACTTTCCCCTCTAAGAAGTCCACTAAAACCATTTCTAATAAACAACTCATCTATGAGAAAAGCTAATAAAATTATCAATATCACAATGCTATTTCTTTAACTAATCACTAATCCCCTAACTATCAAAAAATTTGCATCCTCTAGAAAACACAAATCCAAGATTAGCTTCTGAAAAAAGAAAGGTTAAAAAAGACAACCAACTCCAACAAGTTCTTAGCTAAAATGCCTGGTTAATTTCAAGTTACAATGACTTTTCACAACAGGAGCATCCAAAATACTAAGTTCTGTTAGAGGCTCTTCGGATATCTCAAACTTCTATGTTAATATATCTGTTAATTCAGATTACAGCCGCTGGCAAAAGCGCAGAGCCCAAAACACATAGTTGCAAGAATCAGAAAATTCTGCTAGGATTGGTGGACTCTATGACGTTAGAAAATCTTCAAAAGAATGTTATTATTTATGAAGGTAATTAGATAGTCATCACGTGAAATTTGTTTACGTCTAAAGATATATTGATTCTGATCATCATTTCAGATACCCCTTGATGCCCACTTTTTGTAAGCAAAAAAGAAAAAGAAAAACAAATGAGAAAAATATTCGAGAGAAGTGACGAAAAAATGTTTTAACAAAAAAACATCACTGTTTGAACTAACAACGAAATATTTTTTGGTTGAGGGTATGGGAATAAAAAAGGAAAAAGTTTAAATAGGGAGTTTTATTTTTTGTTCGCAGGCTAAGCTGTAGCTACCCTTAAATGTACATATTCTTTATATAAAAATTCTTAGACAAAATCCAACGAGAAAGAAAGGGTTTTCACTTTCATATTATGTGATTGAATAACTCTAAAAAGCTTTTGACAAATATGTTTATACAAATAATTATTTTCAATTTCAAAATATCTAGATTGTTTGACTAATTTTTGTTATTGAGTTGGTGTTAAATTGTCTGGTAAAGTTTGGTTTTGTAAATAATTAAAAAGATAATTATATTGTATTATATCTAGAGTTCCAGATAAGTCGAGTTAACTCACAAGTTAGATAAGCTGAGTCGAGTTTAAATCAAGTTGAGTTTATGTTTTTTTGACTCAATGATTTGCAAGTCAAGCTAAATTCAAGTTGAGTTAAATATTTAACTCAACTCGATTTAAACTCAACTTGATTCGAGTTGACTCAAGTTGACTTGAAATAGTATTATTTTTAGGAATGTTAAAATTCAGTCCAGTTCTAGTCTGATTCTAAAACTCCCAGTCTATAGGACTTGAGTCCTAGGATTGGATTCTAGGACCAGGTCCTGAAACTGCAGTTCTAGAATCATGATCCTATAGAAAAATAATCGTTTAAGAAGAACAATAAGAAATCGTTTGAATTGAATGATAAAAAAATCATTCAAGAAGAACAATGAGAAATCATTTGACTTGAACGATAAAAAAAATCATTAAAGAATGATAAGAAATCATTTGACTTGAATGATAAAAAATTGTTCAAGAAGAACGATGAGAAATCATTCAAGAAGAATGATGAGAAATAGTTCAAGAAGAACAATAAGAAATCGTTTGACTTGAATGATAAAAAAATCATTCAAGAAGAATGATGAGAAATCGTTTAAGAAGAACAATAAGAAATCGTTTGACTTGAATGATAAAAAATCATTCAAGAAGAATGATGAGAAATCGTTTAAGAAGAATGATGAGAAATCATTTGACTTGAACAATAAAAAATTGTTCAAGAAGAACGATAATGAATCGTTTGACTTAAATGATAAAAAAAATCGTTCAAGAAGAATGATGATGAATCGTTCGACTTGAACGATAAAAAAATCGTTCAAGAAGAATAATGATGAATCATTTGACTTGAACGATAAAAAAAATTGTTTAAGAAGAATGATAATGAATCGTTCGACTTGAACGATAAAAAAAATCATTTAAGAAGAATGATAACAAATCATTTGACTTAAATGATAAAAAAATCATTCAAGAAAAACAATGATGAATCATTCGACTTGAGCGATAAAAAAATCATTCAAGAAGAACAATGACAAATCATTCAATTTGAATGATAAAAAAAAATCATTCAAGAAGAACAATGACAAATCGTTCAACTTGAACGATAAAAAAATCATTCAAGAACAATGATGAATCATTCAACTTGAACGATAAAAAAAATCATTCAAGAACAATGATGAATCGTTCGACTTAAACAATAAAAAAATCAGTCAAAAAGAATGATGACCCAAATCGTTTGACTTGAATAATAAAAAAATCATTCAAGAAGAATAATGATGAATCGTTTGATTTGAATGATAAAAAAATCATTTAAGAAGAACGATGATGAATTGTTTAACTTGAACGATAAAAAAAATTATTCAAGAAGAATGATAATGAATCGTTCGACTTGAATAATAAAAAAATCATTCAAGAAGAATGATAATGAATCGTTTGATTTGAACGATAAAAAAAATCATTCAAGAAGAATGATGACGAATCGTTTGCTCCCCTGATCTTTTTTTTTATATTTAAATGTTTATAAAAATTTAAAATTAACTCATAACTTAATTTGAACTTGACTCAATTTGAATAAATTCAAGTCAAAATCAAATCGAGTTAAAATCAAGTCAAGTCAAATTGAGTTAAATTTAAAATTTATATAACTCAAATCAAATCAAATTAAAAGATTTTATAAAATAAATTTGACTCGACTTGACTCAAAAAATAAGAGTCAAATAGAGTTGATCTTTAAACTCAACTCAACTTGACTCATTTGGAACCCTAGTTATATCCATTTTGAGCTATTTTTCATGATGCAAACACTTTGGCTTTCACTCAAATAAATATATTTTAATAAATTTTGAGATAGATAAGGGATTAATAAAAGGAAGGGGAATAATATCTAATATTTCATAAAGTTGAGAATATGCATTTTCTTGTTGAACTAAAACTGATTCTTTCTACCATATATCATTAATTAGATAAGTTGGTTCATGTTCAGATGAATTTTTCCTCTTTCATATCCTATAATATAATTATTAATAATTGTACCATAAGGTAAATTCTTTTATATGCTTTACAGTAGATGTAGATATGATGATTCGCAATATCGCAGGCAAAAATACATTAAGATCCTTCTTTAGTGATAGGTTGGTTAGCTATAACTGATTTAATTTTAATATTTTTATGGTATATATCTTTCATTTCATCCTTTGAACTTTAATATCTAACTACAGTAATCAAAGGTATATTAAAAAATTGTTGAGATAATTGATCCTCAAACCATATTTCTTCATTATCTTTAACAAAGTTATATTTAGAAGAAATATGCCATTCATCCTCTGATTCTTCAATTTCAACAATATTACCATGAAGACTACACATATACTATCTTCATATTTTGATCAGTATTGATCTGAGAAAGGGCATCTGCATTGGCATTTAGTTTTCCAGACCTATATTTAATTTCAAAATCATATTGTTGGAGTTCTATATCTATTGTGCTCTTTTTTCTTTAGGAATTTTTGAAGTTTATAGCCATTTAAGGGCTGAATAATCGGTAATAATGGTAAAAGATTGTAAGTTTAAATAAGCTTATACAACTGTAAGGCATTCCTGATTAATTATTCCATAGTTTTGCTTACTTTATTCATACTTCTGCTGGTATATGTTACTACATAATTAAATCCATTTTCTAATTTTCGAGAAAGAACAGTTCCTAAACTATTTCAGAAGCATCAGTATATAGGATAAATAGTTTATTAAAATTTAGATACTGTAAGATTTGTATAGTAATTAATTTATCCTTTAAGATATTAAAGGTTCTTTGTTAAATATTTGTTCAAGAAAATGGTTCTTCCTTTTTCAACAATTAAGTTAAAAGTTTGCAATTTTTGAGAATTTTGAGACAAATAGTTGATAATATGAGAATAATCCTAATGCAAATCTTAGGCTTATTAGATTAACTAAAGTGGAAAAGCTTTTAACTTTGTCAATTTTTGCAGGGTTAGATTACAGTTAATTTTTTCCAACCATATGTCCTAAATACATAATATTAGGTAGATAAAAGTGACACTTTTTAAGTTTGATCATTAAGTTTACTTACTTGATCGCTTGAAATACTTTTCTTAAATGTTGGATATGATTCTTATAAGTTGTTGAGTAAATAATAATATCATCCAGATAGACAGTGATGAATTCATATAAGAATTCTTGAAGGATATGATTCATTAGCCTTTGAAAGGTTACTGATGTATTCATTAGACTAAATGGCATAATATTGAATTCATAAAGACCAAATTGAGAGATAAAAACAGTTTTTTTCTTATTCTTTTTGCTCATTTCTACTTGCTAATAGCCACTAGCAAGATTAAGAGTAAAGAACCAATTTGCTTCTTTGAACTTTTCTAATAAATTATTAATTCTTGGTAGAGGATATGCATCATTTTAAAAATAGAGTTTAACTTTCTATAATCAATACAGATACATTTATCTCCAGTTTTTTTTACTACTATAACTATAGGAGAAGCCTAAAGGCTTAATAACTTTCTAATAATTCCACTTTCTTCTATACGTTTAATTTCATTTTTGAGAAAATTAATTTTTATTAGATCTTTATACTTATAAGCTCTGGTGATTACTGGTTATAATTATGGTTAGAATTTTATGTTTTACCAAACTAGTTCATCTAATTTTTGTTTGGTTTAGAGCACATATATTCTTGTAATCATCAATCAATTTTTGAAAAGTTGTTTGTTGCTGGTCATTAAAGGGTTCAACCTAAAGATCATCTTCGATTTTCCAAATATTTTTTTTAGAAGTCTCAGCAAGAAATACCACTGGATTAGATTCAAATTCTTCTTTAGATATAAGAGTTAAATAGACAGAGTTTTCTTCATTCCATGGATTATAGTCAAGGGATAAAAGATCAGTTATATTTTTGTATTCTTCTTGACTATCTGCCATATAAACTTCAATTTCACTAAGTTCTTCTTCCTCATAATAATCTAAAACTTGTTCTAATTCGTCATCTTATTGGTCTTGAATAGCAGGATAACTAATAGAAGTTTCATTGGCACTAGAGGTTACAGAAACTGTGATTGATTTCACTAAATATCTTAATCTAATTTGATTAGTTTCAAAATTAAGGCTAATATGAATATTCTAAATCAGTCCATTCCTAGAAGTAAGATTTTATCTTGAAAATCAATAACTTACAAAGAAATAAGAATTAATAAATTTTGAATAGCGGTTTGAGCCTTTTGATTTGTCCTAATACTTTAATTAGCAGTTACTACAACAGTATTAGACTGTTCATTAATAGATATTTTAATTTTTTTCATTAATTTTCTAGTGATAATGCTGACGACAGCTCTAGAATCTAGGATGGCAACTACAGGATTTCCTTTAATTTTGACATAACAGCGAACAGCTGTAAATTTATCTTTCTTTTTTTCTTTACTTTCTTGGTTAGCATAGTTTATTTTTTGAATTTTTGGTTTTCTCAATCCTTGAGCAAGATTACATCTTTGATTTGAATATTGTAAGAGTTGGCCAATTTTTGCAAAAGAAGACATTTGCAATAAATCTTGCATGACATTATAAGAAAGCATTTGATTAATTTGGGATGGTCCTTGTTTGACTTTCTTTTTAGGAGTAGGAGTAATACTTTGTGAAGTTTCTACTTCCATAAGTTTTCTGCTTCTCAAATTTAATTCTTTTCTAGATTCTGATTGCTTTTTCCTTTCTGCTTTCAATTATTGTGTAATTCTTCTGTTAGTAATATAAGATTTATTACATGAAAGGGCATAGATTTCTTCCTCCTCTATTTCTTCTTCTTCTTCGCTATTAGTATAAACTCTAACATAACTAGCTTCTCTTTTATCAGATTTATTTTGATATACAAGTTTTTCAGACATATATTCTTTTGAGTAATATTCTTTTCTTGGCAACGGAAACAAATAACATTCTTTTTATTCCAATCTTTTGTAAGATTCCTATCATTTTTCAGCTTTCTTCTTTCAGGTTTTCTTTCAAGTTATGCAGATAACGCATTGGAGAGAGTTGTATAGTTTAAGGATAACTATTCTATTTATTTAGTAAAATTATCAATAGCATTATTACTTCCACTTATTTTGGTTAGTACAGGAGATTGTTGTTTATAATATTGACTGCTCTCAACTTGTTTAGCAGCTTCAATAGCTTCATCTACATTTTTAGGTTGAGAAAATGTAACGAGAGAGATGATATTCTTTCTTAATCTATTAAGAAAAAGTCTCACAGTATATTTGTCTGGTAAGGCACAAGCAGAGTTGATTTTCTTTAACAATCTTTTAAATTTTTCTGCATAAAATTCTACTTTTTCATAAAGTTTTTAATAAAGTGTATTCAACTGATAGTGCTATAGATTTTGTTTTATTTCAGTTGAGAATTTTTCCAAAAATAATGATACAAAACTTTGTAACAGCATTACCATTTTTATTCTATTAGGTAATAGTATTGACATTTTCTTCAAACTAATATGTAGCTAATCTATGCAAGTATCCTGATACAAATTTTAACATATGAATTTTAGACCAGTTATTTACTTTAGTATCAATTTCAAAACTTCTAATCTAATCATTAGGTTTTCATTATCATTTTCATAGAAAAGTTTTATTGAGATAATATTACTTTTTTTTAATATTGTATTTCCATTATTTTCACCTAACTGAATGATTTATTCTTGATATTTTTAGTAAGATTCTTAAAACATTTCATTATATAATCCATAAGATTCTTTAACTTTTTGTTATTCATTATCATTTCAGTTGATTCAGAAGTTGTAGATATAGAAGTAAGAGGTGAGATCAGTAGTGTAGGTCACTAATAATAAATATTGTAAAATAATGACAAGTCAGTAGAGTATAGATAATAATTTAGACAATATAATAATGCAACTGCTGCTTTTGTTATTTTATTAATATTATAAGCATTTTCTTGATAGCTATCTAAATAAAGTTTGAATACTATTAAAGAATAATCACTGAATGTTATAATATTATATTCACTAGAGATCTAATTTCAAAAGTTTTTAAATTGCTTTATTACTGTTCGATTAATAAGATTATACTGTATACAAGATGCATCTTTTTCAAAGGTAAATTATTTCTGTGTGCTTTTTTATGATGTTCTTAGATTATTTTTAAAATGTCAAAACTAGTAGATATATTTATATAAGTTTAATAAAGACAATTATAATTCTGGTAAGAATCACCAATTTGTTAATCCTATGCTTAATCCGTTAAACTTAGGATAATGATGACTTAATAATAAGAAGTAACATGCGAGAAATTACTAAGTTACTATAGAATAAGTCCTATCACATTCAACTTTAGGTTTATACTTTAAATAGGTAAAATAACTTTAACAATTTATAAACACAATTGACACGTTAAAAGATTTTTATATATGTGTAGTTTTAGAAAGAGATTCCTTTATTGTAGAAATTTGTATTCTTAGTAATTCTTAACCTTAGATTCTAAGTCTTAAACTCGAACTATTAAGTTATCACTGTTATTTCTACCTTTTGTAAGGACAAATTTCTATCCTATTTATACAAAAACACAATTATAAGAAATTACAATTTAACATTGAATTATTTTATAATACTAAGATAAATATAAAAGATAATTTATAATTTAACAATAATAATAATATAATAAATAATAATAATAAATATAAGAATAAATAAATAAAATAAAAATGTTAACTAAGTTAAAAATGCTAATGATGTTAATATCATTGATCATTCATCAATCTTTATAGCACAGTAAGATTGACTTTACATGATATTAACATTTAAACCTCTGATTTATTAATGTTGGATTGATATGGTCTTGATCAGATATTTAAGTAAACTTCATATTTCTCATTCTCATCTATTTTATAATTATAGTTATTCTAGATTTTGTCAGTATATTGATCTGCTAAATGCATTTTTGAGTTTTGCTAAAATAGGATTTACAATTATCTTAACAATATTATCTTAGCTAGATACAATTCTACGCAATGTATTCTAAAGCATTGTAATTATAACAGGTAAAGTTAGTAAATCTCATATTTTAAGGTTTATAAGTGCGCATATTCTGTCCACTTCTTCTTCTTGAGAACTGGGCTGAGCTAATATTGCGAAAGATAAATTTGCATAATTTATGGTAAGCTATTCCAATTTTTGTGAGTTCATCTATTTTAGTACTAACAACTGGAGTGGATTTTAGTGATATAACAGTAGAAGTAGAAGGAGTTATACTTGTATTTCTTAGAACTTTTCTAGTGGTAAAATTATAACCAATTTCGATATTTCTAGTAGCATTTACTGTAGCAATCAAGTTATTAGAGGTTTATGCATATAACATCAGAGTATATATAGGGTTTAGTCTTATAAGAAATATTTGTTTTTGCTGGGTATTATCAGTCAAGCCTACTCTTTGAACTAGTTTATAAAATTTATTAGCATAAGAATTCACCAATTCATTCAAATATTATTATAGAAAAGTTAACTTCTGGTATTATTAATTCTTTCTAGTTTTGTTAATGAACTTAGTGTTAAACATGTTCACAAAATTGTTCTCATTATTTGTAGTTATAGTTCAATTATCATTTATGATTACTGTATTTTCTTTGAATCAGTTAGCTGCAGCTTTTTTTAAGTATCTTCTATCTATAGCTTTTTTTCTTAGAACATCAATCCATCAATTGATAATTGTTGCTTTTTCAAAGGCAGCCAGCTATTCAACTAAATCTTTTATTTTAATGCTATAAAAGTAATCAACTTTCACTGTAGTTCATTCTATTTGTTCTAATACATTTAATCGAATCCCATTTACTCTAAAGATTTCTTCGAGAGCTTGTCTTATTTATTCACCTATAGCTGTTGTTATTACTTCTAGAGGTAGAATAGTAATTGAAGTTATTGATAAACTATTGGAAAGGTAATTAATTGTAAGAGTAATTGTCAGTCTTTTTGAATTTAAATTAAGTCCTGAGTTTGAATTTGTATATATACTTTTAATGAAATAGATAAATTGACAGGTTGTTAAAAATAATTTGTTTCAAAAGATATATCTTGAACATACAAATATATTACGTCTGATGAGAAAGGTATAGTCCTATATTGAAGGCTAAAGAATAACTGATAAATTATTTTTATTAATTGACTATTATGATATTCTGATACTAGAGTATTGCTTAATTACTCAAATAGATTAAAGACTACAACTGATCTTGCTGTAATAGATTTAGTTCGATATTCGTAATGAAACTAATTCTAAAAATTTTGAAAACTAATTAAAAGTGTATCAAATAGAGAAGTGGATAATACCAATTACAAGTATGGTCTTCGTTAAAGAGGAATTAGAATAATACCTAACAATATGCTCAATTGTATTTTTCTCAATTGCTTCAAAATTCATACACTTCGCTTTTCTTTAGCAGTTTATTATGTATAAAATTAACTTTGTTTTTTAATTCTTAAACTCGAACTTTTATATATCTTGCTAAATCTGTTAGCAGTCTATTATATATAAAATCAATAGTATTCTAGTAGAAATCATCACTTGTTAACGTTACTCTTTCATCAAATAAATTAACCATAATTTGAAGTTAGGGAGACATTAGCTATAACTTAAATCCAATCAACTTGATACAATGTTAATTAAGAAGTTCATTTAGTTAACAAGAATAAAGTTATATATTTTATATTAATAAAATATGTTTGGAGTTTATTAATGTTATTTGTTGTTAATTATATTCAATATATTAAATCTATATTTTTTAAGGCATTTTCATATCCTTTATATAGAAAAATATAATTAAAGAAAATCACTGATAATAATTAGATTTAGGATATTATTGATAATAATAATTATACTAAAGACCTGCATAAGTTTAAATTTTGAAGCCTGGTCTGACTCAGACTTTAAGCTAAGAATTAAAATGCTACTCCAGTCTAGCCTGGATTAAATTTGTGTATTAAAATTCCAGTTCAGTCCAGCCTAAATTTAATTATAATAATTAGCGATGCAAAATTTATAGCTAATTTTAAAATGTCACAGGACAGATAATCATTTTGCAGATTGATAAAAAAAACTCGTTAAAACTCAGTATAGAATTTTTTAAAAGAAAAAAACATTATTGCTATGTTCAGATCATTATTGCGACATAATTTTTTTATTTATATAAAACTGTGGTTGACATTTTTAAATCTTTATAAATGTTTTTAAAAAGTCTCATTATTAAATGTAATGTGATTTATAAAATTAGCTATAATAATTTAATTATTTTATTTTAATTTAACAAATTAAAAAAATAACAATATGTATTTTTTTTTTTATAATTTTTTAACAAATTATTATTATAAATAAATAAAAAAAATTAATGAAAAGTACTATATAATACTAAAGTGATTAGAAACAATAAAATATTTTATTATACAATCAGTGGCATCTAAATTTTAATTAAATAATGATTTTTGCTAAAATTATAAAAAATCTGGGCTGGTATCTTGAACCCGGATCTGATCCAGAAAATTTTAAATTTATTTTTACTAGCCTATATCTGGTCTGAAATCCAGATTTGGGCTGAATTCCTGCACTGAGCTCAGCCTATTGAATGTCTCTAAATTATACTAACAAGACTAATATAAATACTAATAATATTATATATACTAATTATGAAATAAGTAATAATAATGATAATTATAATAACAATAAAAGTTATATCATTATTGACAGGTTAGTCAGTTTTGTTAGTTTTGTTAGATTTGCTTAGTCTGGTAAGTTCTACCAGTTTTATAGATGCCTGCCAAAACCTCCTCAAAATAATTTCGTCATATCCTTTTCTATGTTTTTAATATAGTTTTGACAGTTTCAGCTTTCATCGTATCGAAAGGGTTTCGTTGTATCCCTTATTATGATTTTAATATAGTTTCGTCTAAGTTTCGACTGTTATTAAGGGGTTTCGTCCCTCATCATTAA